AAGGGGAGAGGTTCTAGTAACCATCCTCCAAGTTTGGAGCTTACTCACTCCAAGGTCCATAGGATACAATGTTGCCGAATTGCCGCCGAATTTCGGCGGCAAACCGGGAATAAACTGCAGCAAGCTGATCTGGGGGCAACCTGTTTGGGGGCCCATAAAATTGTACTCCCTGGTCCAATCATCTTGAAACTTGGTGGGTATGTTGGGGAGAGGTTCCAGTAAGCAAGAATAAACTGCAGCAAGCTGATCTGGGGGCAACCTGTTTGGGGGCCCATAAAATTGTACTCCCTGGTCCAATCATCTTGAAACTTGGTGGGTATGTTGGGGAGAGGTTCCAGTAAGCACGCTCCACGTTTGGAGCCTCTACCCCAAACCCCCTCCCCCCCAGCCCCCCACAAAGTTTCAAGAAGATTTTTGCCATTGACTTCAATGGCCCCATTGGTTATAATGGACCCGAATTTTTCGGGATTCCCGAATTTTTTCGGGATTTTTTTCGGGATTCGGACAAGCGCATAAATTGCTAGTTCGGGATCCCAAAAGCCGAAAAAAGCCAGAAAACGTTATTTTTGGCTTTTTTTCGGCTCGGGATACCGAAATGCACATCCCTACTTGAGATTGATTAGTGGGAGATTAGTGAGATTAACTCGTTACCTGAACCTTGGACTGCTCTCAGACCCTGCCTATGGAGCACCTGCTTTGACCCTGATCTTGTTATTGGACCGTGACCCGAGAACCCCTTCTGTGAGACCTTCTGGTTGCTGGGACTCGCCTCCCACCTTGTGGCCCAGCCATGATCACTGAAATAATTGTTGAGCAGCGAAGGGCAAAGTGCACTTAACTGAGTGAAGCATTGGAAGAAGAAGAGCCTTGTGGGGGCACGTGCAAGGGGCACCTTCTGCTGCCTTTGGTGAGCATCTAGGATGCTATTCTGTTCCATGTTTGGTTACAGCAACAAGACTACTGGGAGTGCAGCTCTCCCTTAGGCTGATCATCTTTAGTTGTTGACCTCAGTGCAGCTTCGTCCTTCCAGCTCATATTGCACTGCAAAGTTGTGATCAGCTGTAGAAAATGCTTTCTTGGCTTTGGGTGGGTACAGCACAATAGCCAGGTAAATGGAGGCATGGCTTAACACAGGGGTCCCTGACATGGTGCCTGGCAACATGTTTCCAGCCACCCAACAAAGTGTTTTTAGGAAGTGAGTAAGGTCAGGAGGAGGGCTGCGGTGGTTCAAGTGGTTAAGACGCTGAACTGCAGACTGGAAGGTCGGTAGTTCAGCAGTTCGAGATCCGAATGTCACATGACAGAGTGAGCTCCCGTCTCTGGTCCCAGCTCTTGCCAACCTAGCAGTTCGAAAGCAAGAAATTACAAGTAGATAAATAGGTACAACTTTGGTAGAAAGGTAACAGCCTTGGCATCTAGTCATGTAGGCCACATGACCACGGAAATGTCTTTGAACAGCGCTGCTTCTTTGGCTTGGAAACTGAGATGAGCACCGCATCCCTAGAGTCAGATTCGACTGGCTTTCGAGCAAGGGAAATCTTTACCTTTTACCTTAAGGTCAGGAGGGTTTTTTGCCCAGCAGAGTTTTTCATTGGCTGTTGTTGATTGGCTGTGCAGATTTTTAAAAAGTTCAACATCAGCTGCCACCACAGCATGTGACTGAAGATGTATGCAAGAAAATATTTTTAAACAATAAGTTCATTTTAAAAATGCTTTTGCCTGCAATGTTGAAGGGTTATCATGAGAGTTATGCAGGCCCTCACTGCCTTACATTCTGTGGTTGGCTCCACCTCCTGTGGCAGCCATTTTATGGTTGTCCCCACCACCTTGTGTCAGAATTTCAGTGGTGCCTGCAGGCTCAAAAGTGTTGGGGACCCCTGCCCTAATGTGTTGGGTAAAGTGAGTGGAAAAGAGCAAGAGTCCAGTAGCACCTTAAAGACTAATAAAATTTGTGGCAGGGGATGAGTTTTCATGAGTCATTGCCTCACTTCTTCAGATACCTGGTATCTGAAAAAGTGAGCAGTGACTCATGAAATCTCATCCCTTGCCACTAATTTTGTTAGTCTTCAAGGTGCTGCTCTTCCTCTTGCTCTTTTCTACTGCTACAGACAGACTAACACAGCTACCCATCTTGAGTAAAGTGTGTTTTGTCTTCTAGGATTCATGATGGAAATGGCTTCGTGGGATGGGGGGATTTCTCGGACTGTACAGTTCCTGGTACCACAGGTAAGGTAACCTAAGAACAATTGCTGTCCAATATCATCCAGAATAGAAAAGACTCTGTTTGTCCTGTGTATATTCTTGTTACAATTTTGTAAATTCCAGCTTTAAACTTTCGTTTAGTAATCCTGTAGGCACCTATTGATTTCATCTCAAGAGTACAGATATTCTCATTTTTTAAAAAGCAGATAGGTATAGTGTAGTGGATAGCGTTTACAACTTGGGCCCGAAGGATCCGGGTGCCAATTTCTACGTAGCCATGAGACTCAGCTTACCTACATAGCCGTGAGACTCAGCTTACCTGAGCGATTGATTGGGGTGTTATGTCAATTTAAGTTTCTTGGCGAGGGGACAGGCTAAAAATTTAATGCTTAAATAAATGACTATCTAGAACTCAGTGAATATGGATAACTCCTCCCTTTCTTGACGATGGCAATAACCTATAAAGCAAGGGTATGCAACCTCTTTGCCCAAATGCCAAACCCCTTGGAGGAAGGTAGGAGGATGAGGGCTGTTCAAGGCCAGGCACACTGAGAGTCTGCGGAGCCCCAGTGGTACTGCTAGCCCCTTGGTCCTATGAGTGGAGAATCAGCTGCTGTTCAGCACCTGTGCCAGAGATTGCTAGTCCCTGGTAAAGAGTAGTGGTTTTCATCTGGTGGGAGACAGGCATAGTCTAGATGGAATACAGCGTTTTCATAACAGCTACTAAGAATTCACTCTCCCCAATCCCTTTTAAGTAGTCATAGTAGCCGCTTTATTCCCAGTAACGCTACTGCAATTTTTCATGGTCTTGCCATGAATGATAAATATAATAATAGAAAGCCTGTAAACATCAAAATGTTCTCCTTGGGGAAAAATGGGCTTTTTGTTTCCATCAGTCCCTGGTTCTTTGATACAGTCTCCAATGGGACATAAGATAGGAAAGGCCGAGACCCTGTGGTATTAGAGCACCAGTTCTGTAGGGCAGTTCTGAATGGACGTGCTGATGTCTAATGGATTTACAAGACATGCTTATTCTTTGTTTCTTCATTTTCGCAGAGTATTTCAGAAGAAATGTTTTACCAGCTGAGTAATATGTTGCCGCAGATTTTCCGTGTCTCTTCTACGCTCACTCTGACATCCAAACACTGAATTACCTCGAGGGTTCTGGAAAAGAACTGTAGTTAGTGAAAATATGAACATGGTTATTTGTGCAAGACACTGACAGAAGTTAGGATGAAAGGGGGTCTTTGGTCACACCAAAGCAGGCATCTGCATGCAGTGACAGGTTGTTGCCAATTCCCCCCTTTTAGCTCCTCCCACTTCACTGAATGCTGTTTTGGAGGATCTGCTGGGAAGGATTGCTGTAGGAAAGTGATTGCCCTTGTTGAATTGTCACTAAGAAAAAAACAGCATCTGTTGCTAGATTGGATCATTTGACCCAAACTTTTTTTAATGATGTTTCATATTTCATGTGACACTTTTATTTTCTTGCTGCTTTAATGTCATGGAAAATACTTGCCTATGAACAGTTATTGATAAAACCCCGTACTTGTGTATGTACATGCTGGGTAGAAATGGCTACTCCCATACCATTTGCCTGGCCCAGGTACATGTGTGGCAGTCCCAAACGCATTTAGGGTGGAAATACTGTTGGAAATGGCAGCCTTGTGTCTAATTTCTCCCACACTCATACACCTCCATAATATTTAAAATAAACTCGGCAGTTTCCTGATACCACAGCATGTGGTGGGAGTGGAGACACACAATATCATTGCAGGAGGCTACAGGTTAATTGTTCTAAGCATAGCAAAGGGAGAGATGGGAATTAGGCACATAGCTTCCATTTCTCTCAGCAGCCACGTGCATAGCATAACATCTAATTGTGACCTTATTTAGAAGTGAATACAGAGAGTGCAGTATACTTTTTTTTTTCCAAATCAGTATGACTGTGGTTTGGATCTTGTGGAGACATTGCACTAATGGAATCATGGGATCCAGCCCAGTTATTAAAGGAACCAATTCAATGTTTTTCTGTTGGTTCACTAGACGTGCTCTCTTGTTTAGTAAAGCATGAATTGTAATGGGTAAAGAAGTCTTAGAATTGTGAAATATTTCAATAAGGCTTTGATAAAATGACTTGAGTAGGAGAATGTGAAGCCCTTACTTTGTAGAGACCACATAGAAAATGATGATATGCTCTCATTCTATAGATTTGTGCCTCTAACTGGTTGTTAATTTTTGCTACTGTTAGCCGAACTGCTTTATCTACAACAGCTGGCAGACTAAATTTATATGGGTTCCTGCCTGTGTATACTGAAGTCCAGTCCACCCCAAGGATTTCCCAGTAAATTTGTCGAGACTGGTGAATTCAAAACAATCTGTCTTTTACTTAAGAATATATCACATTCAAACAATACAGATGCACACACACATTCAATCAAGTTTCCTTTGGAATTACAGTAATAGAAATAGTTCTTTTTACTTAGGAGGTAGGTAGGTTACAGTTCATACTTATCTGTCCTGAAGCCTTGTCTGTTGCAATGAAGAATGAAGGGTATAGAAAATAGAACCTAGGGATGTTGCTAAATCACACTGCTAGAACCAGCCAGCGAGTGTGGACCTCTTAGCTGCGCATACCAAGAGATCAAGTAACAACAAAAGGGTTGTGGGATAGCAAGCTGGACGTTAGGGGGTAAAAGCAGACAGGGGGTGATGGAGGGTTTGTGGCTAGCAGTGTAGTGAGGGATGGTTACTTAGGGTTTGGTCAATATTGAAACTCTAACCTCTAACTCAGGGAAAAACCATCTAGTCAAGTGTGAAGTCTTGACATAAAGGAACCTCCTTGATGTGCAGATAAATCTCGGCTTTCCCAGGTAATCAAAGCACATCTGCCAGGAAACGGCCTTTCAGATGTAGAGTCAGGGCCGGCCCGAGGTTGTCCTGCGCTCTAGGCGAGCGCAGGTGCCAACCTCCCGGCGGGAGACTGGCGCACTTTTGCTTTCCGCCCTGCTGCCCGCCCCAGAGAGGCGCAGGGGAAGGAGGAAGCGCGCCAGTCTTCGGCCCTTAGGCAGGCAGGCAGGTGTGGGCCCGGAAGTGTAGGGAGCCGCGTGGGGCTGGTGCTGGCAGCGAGCGAGGGGGTGGGGTGGCGGAGGTGCGGCCTCCCTCCGGGCAGCACAAGAGGAGCAGCAGGAGCGGCGCGGCCAGGAGCATCTCCCCTCACCCGTCCACAACACAGGACCCCTGGCCGCCGAAGGGGCGCACGGGCTGGCCTTGGCTGCCACCTCCCTGCACGGGGACTCTCCAGGGGAGACGGAGGAAATGGCGGTAGCCGTTCCTCCTCCGGGCGCAGTGGGCGGGTTTCAGGCGGCCCAAGCCAGGCCAAAAGCAGGCAGGCCGGCCGGGGCCCCTCGCCTCCCCCCCCCCAGACTACCTGCGGAGAAGGAGGACGAGTGCCCTCTCGGAGCCCGTCCACAGCACAGGACCCCTCGCTGCCGAGCCACTGGAGGGGTGCATGCAGGCTGGCCTTGGCTGCCGCCTCCCGCGAGGGGCAGGACCCCCAGGCCCAGGCGTTCCCCGCCGGCACCCCCTGCGCGGAGACTCTCCAGGGGTCCTCCCAGCGCAGCGAACGGGCAGGCAGGCCGGCTCCCCGGCTACCTCCTCCGCCCCCCCCCCGGCTACCTTCCCCCACGGAGCTCCAGAGGACTCGTCCCCTTGCCTACCCATTTCCGCCCCACCCCCGTGGCTGCAGGATGAGTTCGACGGTCACCTTAAAGCCTGGGTCGCCGGGGAGGGGCTTATTGCAATTGAATTCCTCCCCCCCACCCAAAAGAGGGGGTAGGATTGCTTTGTAACTCTCCCCTCACGGACTTGTTTAATCAAAAGTCACCGACCGCCATTCACCCAGGCAAGAGATATCCCACGGGCTGTGATCCGCAGCCGTTCACATGCTCAGGAGAGGCATCTCCAGCGCCCAATATCAGGATGCCTTGGCGCGCGTGGGGGTGGGGTGTTGTGCAGAAGCCACACATTGGATGGCGGCCGCTCCCCATGTTTTCTGTCTTCCTTGACATTAACAGTGATGCGGCGGGCCTGGCAGGCAGCGGGCAGGCGTCCTAATCTTCCCTCCCCGCCGCCTCTTCGCAGACCCTCTCTGCCTGAGATGACCCTGCCTTTGCTGCATGGCTCCTGAATGGGGCAGCGCGCCTTCCTCCCCCCTGCCCCGAAGGCTGCGGCTGGTTGGGGCTGGGCTGGACGAGCCATCCTTTCCGTTCTCCCTCCCCCCCACTGGCGGTGCGGCTCTGCACTGTGGCGCCAGCTGCGGCCAGGGCGGCCCCCGCTACCTCCCCCCTCACTACCTCCCCCACCACCGGCTACCTGCGGAGGAGGAGCACGAATTCGGCATTTAACAAGAGAGATTTCCCGCTCGGGGGCGCTGATTGGGCCGGCAGGCGAATTGGCTCCCTGCCTGCCTGCCTTGCCATGGGCCCGCCAACCCGACCAGCGCTCCCCTCGGCCCCCTTCCCCCGCCCTTCTTGCCACGGCAGGGCTGCGGAGGAGAGGCTGCAGGCGGCTGCCCCTGCCTCTCCTCCCGCGCCCTAAAGGCCAGCTCGCGCAGAGTAGATCGGTGTAGGACGTGTATTCCCACAGTACATCAATGGGGGATTGCTTGTCCTTAAGCTGTTGTTTCTGCTAACCACAGTGGTGATGGCGTGCTTTCCCTCCAGGCTAGGAGCTGTGTATTTCCAAGCTTCATTAACAGGAAATGCAGGCACCTCCTATGTGTATCAGAACAGGTGATTCAAGCAGCTTCCTTTGAGTGTGTGTGTCAGCAGATATAAATGATAAAAAGCAAAGATCAGTCTCAATTCTCAACAATTCCCCCCCTTCATGACGATACTGAGTCCTTAGACGAAGATAGTCATGACATTGGCATCATCATTAAAGGTATCAGGAACAGGTCATCAGCTCTGCAGGTCAGGTCCAGATATCATCTGTGGATCGTCTAGTCATCTCAGGAACAGGAACAAATCACAAAGCACCCAGATGCCACTATCTACTCTATCATTGGGGACAGACTTTCAAAAATAAAATAACAAACTGTATCCTATGAAAAACCCGAATTACATTGCAAAGACCAGCCTCCAGTGTAGACAAGCACGAACCCAATTATGTGATTACACTAGAACTACACATATCCATTATGCATATCATATAAATCAATAAACTAAAACTTGGTTAATCCCTAAAGTCATGAGAGAGAAACTCAAGAGAAAAACTTGTAAATGTCTTAAAACAGGAAAATACATTAGTAAATTGTTATGCAAAGAAATCATTAAAAAAGCTTGTAAACATTTCAAAGCAGAAAAATACTTTTGTAAACTGTGTTCACTTTCCCTGAGTGTAAACCTATTCAAGTATAGTTAATAATATCAATTTAAACTAGTGGCAGCCAACTATTATTTTGCAGCAGGCTTGCAAAGAGATATCTTGTGATTGCACAGTGTAAACATGGAAGTATTTACAATGAATACATTCAAGTCATAAAAGTTATATTCACAGTTGACTTCAGCCTTTTCCATCGCACAGGTGGTCTCAGCGTGCGTTTTTCCATTTAAACTATATTGGAGAAAGACACTGGAATAATGGTTACAATAAAACTGAATTAAAAATCTTCTGGTCTTCTGTTCTTCTAACATCAGCAGACATGCACGAAAATACCCGATCTTTGCCTCGGGGATCTCCGGAAGCTTCCCTGTTCCTGGCCGATCTAGACATGGAGAAGTCTAGCCAGAAAGGAAGGGGATGTTTTGCATATTGAAGAATATTCTCCCCCCCCCCTTGGTCCCAAGGCAGTATGGGAGCCTACTTATTAAACTAAACATTTTTCCTTCAACAAACTAGACATTTAAATCCCAGTGTATATCAACGGTACTTGTTCCTGCAGCTTGGTTTCCCTAAGGAAATAAATCAATGTATTTATAAAATCATCACAGTAACGTAGTAAACATTTGCAGACAAACTCAGTCCTGCGGAAACCGAACATGCCATCTTTTCTCCCTCAGGGGAGAGGGAAACTCTTCCAGCTTCTGGTCACTTGAACTCCTGAGAAAGAGGAGGGGACCCAAATGCACGTTCCGGCGTTAGGTTCGAGCGACCAGTCTGCGAAGAGAACCCTCTTCTTTTAAACTGGGAGACTTATGCGCTCCCGCGAGGATCCTTTCAATGGGGTACCCGTTTTAACCTGGAGGTTTCCCTATAGGGACCTTCTCCCAATAAGGTTTAAAAATAGAATTTAAAAAAACAAAACCTCCCCATGAAACACGAAGCAATGGTACAGTCCACTGCTTTGACTGACACTTAAACGGAACGTGGTGAAGCCATTCCCTAGCCCTGAGCACGGGTCAGTTTAGCGTGGCTGCGCATACAAATGAACGCATGCACTAGGCATCATGGGGGGTTGCATTTTATAGAACAATTACAACAACACAAACAGAATAAGAATACTTTGTCTTCAAAAAAACTATACAAAAACAACATTTATTCATTGAAGGCCTAGGCAAACTTAAAGCTAAGTGGCAAAAACGCTCTCTCTAACTTTGACGGGAATTGGCAAGCTGATAAAGAGGTTGAAAAACTGCAGAAAATTCAAGTACGGCTTTGTGGTCCATCTGGGAGTGAATAGGCCATGTCGGGGGCCCTCCCTTAAGGGGAATGGGGTTGCACACCCCTGCGCAGGCGGATCCCTCGGACCTATCGCCGGTACCAAGCGTTTTTACCCACACGCTGTAGGGTTAACGGTACCTTGGCAAGCAATTTGGCTAATCAAAAAGAAGTCATACCATCCAGGGTGAGTGCCTCCTCCTACTTTCCAGAAGTTCAATCGGGGCCTTCGCGCCCCCCTCCCCAATGTTGGTCACAAAAATAGAAAAATTTGGAAGAAAGAAAAACAAAAATTGTTTTACTCAAAGGGATTTAATAAGGGAAAGGGAGTGTCTGCACAGACTTCTCAGCCTTTCCAGCAAGAAAGATTTAAAATTTAAAAATTCCAAATTCAGCAAAAATTCCAAATTCAGCATGTGAGACATAGATAGAAAACAAAGACAAGTGAAAGGTGAGCCTATTTCCTGCTGCAGGAAATCTAGTTCTTTTGTTGGGAGCACTCTCTCCGGAGTTCACTCCGTTGCGCATGGGCGCAAAAATCCTTGAGTGCTTTGCACAGGTGATTTTAACGGATAATGGGAGTTGGCATAGGGAAAGGGTTTAGCAGAAAAGAAATCATTAGTACAGTATTAATACATTAATACATTCCCTATTCAATTAGTCAAAATTAATGCCCTAATAGTTAATAAGCAGGATCAAGATTAAGCATCAAAGGACTCCCATTTCCTTCACTCCGTGCATTTGGCACTTGGTGATTTTAAAGCCAGGCTTTTGCCATTTAGTGGCAATGCCTCCAACTCCATGGCGCTTTGGCTGCGCGGTGGGGATGGTGATCCCAAACAACAATTCCTGCAACAAAAGAATTAGTGGGGGCTTGGGGAAAGTTTTTCCCGTTCCCTAAACTCATGCCATGCTGTGGTCAACACAAAGCAGAAAAAAACTAATCACAGCAAAGCTTCCCATTGCAGTGGGTCTATCTACGAAATTGGTGACCTGTCTCTTTAAAAACTTCTCAGCGTCTGCATGCGCATGGACACTTCTGAACCTTGCCTCGACAAAGGA